TCCTCATCAGACTTGATCTCTAGACCCCTCACCAGCCTCGTTGCCCTTCTCGGGACACGCCTCAGCACCTCAATGTCCTTTTTGTAGTGAGTAGCTCAAAAATAAACACAGTACTCCAGGTGTGGCCTCACCAGTGCCGAGTACAGGGGCACGATCACCTCCCTGCTCCTGCTGGCCACATTATTCCTGATCCAAGTCAGGATGCCGTTGGGCTTCTTGGCCACCTGGGCACACTGCTGGCTCATGTTCAGCTGGCTGTTGACCATCACCCCAAGGTCCTTTCCTGCCAGACAGCTTTCCAGCCACTCCTCCCCAAGCCTGTAACATTGCATGGGGTTGTTGTGACCCAAATGCAGGACCCGGTATTTGGCCCTGTTGAAACTCATACCATTGGCCTCGGCCCATTGATCCAGTCTGTCCAGATCCCTCTGCAGAGCCTTCCTATCTTTGAGCAGATCGACACTCCCAACCAACTTAGTGTCATCTGCAAACTTACTGAGCACTCAGTCCCCTCACCCAGATCGTTGATCAAGATGTTGAACAAGACCTGACCCAAAACTGAGCCCTGGGGAACACCACTTGTGACTGGCTTGTTTATGTTAAACCTCATAATCTTCATAAAAGCTATGAGACCTAAAAAGTTATTTCTGCTTAGAAAAGCTTCTTCAGACTCCTATGTATTACTGAAACCATAGTTCAGACCCATATTCTTAGGCAACTAGCCTAAGTAGTCCATACTTGCCTTAGAGGTAGGCAATTTGCTATGAGCATCTAAGACAGATTTCTACATCTCTGCACAAACTGTACAAAAGGTACAGAGGTGTCTGCCTTTCTTATTCCTTCTGTTAAGCCTTTTTGTGCTAAGACAAACCATGATAAATATTCCAATAGGGAATACACATGTGGCTGAACAGACACAGAACAAGGGCTTCTTTTGGAGAAGGATTCGTGCAGGAGTTGCTTTGGAAAGCAGATACCTAGCAGCAGTGGTAGATATAGTGACAGAGAGTAACTTCTGTTACACATTAGCCTTGTGTTTAGAGCAATTCACTCAGGAAGCAAAGCACTCTGTCTCCTCTGCAAGGTATTTGTGCACACATCCCCTGCTTCTCCTTAGATCATGGAACAGATCCTCCTGGAAGACATCTGAAAACATACGGAAGACAGGGAGATAATTAATGACAGCCAGCATGGGTTCACCAATGACAAATCATGCCTGCCCAAGCTAGTAGTCTTCTGTAATGGAAAGGCTACATCAATGGACAAGGGAATAGCTATGGAAGTCATCTACCCTGACTTCTGTAGAGGCTTTTGATCTGGTCCTCCACAACATTCTTACCTCTAAATTGGAGAGATATGGATTTGATGAATGGACTATTAGATGGATGAGGAACTATCTGGATTGCCATGTCCAAACAGCTACAGTCAATGGCTCAACATTCAAGCAGAAACCAGTAACAAATTGTGTCCCTCAAGGGCCTGTATGGGGACCAAGACTATTTAATATCTTCATCAGCAACAGAGAAAGTGTGATTGAGTGCATCCTCAGCAAGTTTGTGGATAACACCGAGTGGTGCAGTTGATTCTCTAGAGGGAAGGCGTGCCATCCAGAGGGACCTTGATCGGCTTGAGTAGTGGGCCCATGCAAACATCACGAAGTCCAGCAAGGCCAGGTGCAAGGTCCTGCATGAGGGTCGGGGCAGTCCCTAATATCAGTACAGACTAGGTAATGAATGGATTGAAACCAGTCCTGCAGAGAAGAGCTTGGGTATATTGGTGGATGAAAAATTGGGTCATGACTCAGCAATGTATTTTTCCAGCCCACAAAGCCAATCATATTGTGGGCTGCATCACAAGAAGCATAGCCAGCAGGGTGAGTGAGGGGATTCTGCCCCGCTGCTCACTCTCCTGAGATGCTACGTGGAGTCCTGCATCCAGCTTTGGGGCCCCCAGTACAAGACAGACATGCACATGTTAGTGTGGGTCCAGAGGAGGACCACGGAAATCATCAGGGGCATGGAACACTTCTGCTATGAGGACTGGCTGAGAGAGCCTGTTCAGCTTCAGGTTGTTCAGCTTGAAGATGAGAAGGCTCCAAGGAGACCTTAAAGCAGCATTTCAGTATTTAAAAGGGACTGCTAAGAAAAAAAGAGACATTTTACCACGGCCTGTAGTGACAGGACAATAGACAAAGGTTATAAACTGAAATGGTAGATTTAGATTGGACATAAAGAAGAAATTTTTTATGATGAGGGTGGTGAGACACTGGAACAGGTTGCCCACAGAAGTTGTGAATGCCCCCTCCCCGGAAGTGTTCAAGGCCAGGTTGGATGGGTCTTTGAGCAATCTGGTCTAGTGGAAGGTGTCCCTGTCCACAGCAGAGAGGTTGGAACAAGATGACCTCTAAAGGTCCCTTCCTACCCAAACCATTCACTGACTCTATGATTCATTCTATAATTCTAGCTATAGACCAAATTCTTGTTTCTTATATTGCAGCTGCTTTTCCTTTTCAACATTTCAGAAAAAGCAGACACTGTGTTACCTCTTTGGCTTTATTCTCTTGATTCTCTTTATGCATTTAATTCAGTATGTCTTAAGGGGAAAATGTACATCTAAAATATTTTCAATACCACCAGGACTAAGTATCCAGGTACAAAAACAATCTGCTACACAAAATATTTAATATTAGGTTACAGAGTCAAATGTTTTATTCCCCCTGTGGTTTCCCTGTTTCTAACAGACACCTACACATGATACGGGCAAAAGCTCACATTTCAGCCTGCCTAGTCAGAATATCTCTTTGGGAAGTGGAAGCTGTGACATCATAACTTTTAAGCTCAGGAGATGCTAGATTTCACATCTAAATTCTAGGCTCTTGCGTTATGGAGAGACTGTTGCCTATTCAATCCTTGACCAGTGAGTAAAGTAAATGACTGTGGGCCTTGAGCGTTGCATTGGATGAACCAGCAAAGATCTGACCAGGGTGACTGGATGAGTACCCTCACATGAGTTCAGCAGAGTTCAGGTACCTCCCCAGACTACACAGCAGCAGTATAGAGACTAGGGGAGACTTAGTTCTGAGCATACATAGATGACTGTAAGACCATCTGATTGAAAACAAATATTCTGATTAATCTTAGGTTCCTTTAAGGATTTAGATAGTGTCTGAACATAGGTCATCTGCTTCAGGCACTAAGACATAAACACTAACAGGCTGCTGAAGTTGACAAGAATAAGTTACAGCTGACCTCTTGCCTTTAAGCACTAGGCCTCCGGGATTTATAAACTATGCTCACTTTTCTTGCAATTTACTTTTCTTATAATTTATCCCCAGATTTTCTTGGGTTAGAATTATTACAAGAAAACTAAGTAAAAATAGAGGAAAAAAAGCCTAGCAGAAGAATAATTCAATTTTAAAATATTTTATAGATAGAAGAAAAATTTATGACTAGCCTATTGGAAAAAATGTCTTAATTATGACGTCCATTTTTTTGATATTTAGTTGGTTTCCGCTAAGCCTGATATTAGTGGAGTAAATATGTATTTGTTTTCACTTTTAAAGTTTCTAAGAAATGAAGTAATCATTCTAGTCTGCTCAGTCATTTTTTAACATTGTTTTCATCTAAACTAGTCATGCATCTGGAAGAAAACATAAATTTTTTACAGTAAGTAGCTGAAAAAAAATCTCAGTTCTGTAATCTGGCTTCACTTCTAGTAATTGACTGTGAAGAGTTGCTCCTACTCCCATGAGGTTATTTGCTGACCCTCATTAGCTTTACTGAAAACCGTTTTCTTTCCTAAGTGTCACTTAAAGCAGGAAATCAGTAGTTCAAAAATAATATTTCATGCTGAAAGTCACTGACAATTTAGCAGAGATGCTTCTACTGAATTTGTATATAATGTTCCATACATTAACTACTTTTAAATTCTGTTGACTAGTATTGTTTGCTGAGTTACCCAAAGAAAACCAGTTATGTTTCATCAAAAGTATTTCTAACCTTCTTGTAAATTTTACTGATATTTAAAAATAGAACTGGAATATGTTACTTGAGAGCTGTTCAAATTTTAACAGAAACTTGATTAATCTTTATAACTTACAACAAAAATTGTGTATATGGTATGAAGAGCCAAGTATAAAGACGAGTGCAAAGTCATGCACCTGGAAAGACACAACCAAAGAGCCCCGTACAGGCTGGGCTCGGTGTGACTGGGGAGCAACCTTGCTGAAAGTAACCCAGGGGGTCCTGGTGGGCGACAAATGGAACACGAGTCAGCAGTGCTCCGCGGCAGCAAGGAAGACGAAAGGAACCCTGGGCTGCATTCCCAAGGGTGTTATTAGCAGAGATACTGGCATGGTCATCCCACTTCATGGGAACAAGAGTGGTCAGTGCTTGTCAGGCCTCACTGGGAGAGCTGTGTCCAGTTCTCATCCCCATTATTCAAGAAAGATGTGGACAAACTGGAGAGGGTCCAAAGGAGGGCCACAAAGATGATCAAAGGGCTGAAGAACCTGCCCTATGAGGAAAGATAGAAGGAGGAAGGTCCTTTCTCCCTGGAGAGAAGTTTTAAGGGGAACTCATAAAAGTATTCCAGTATTTAAAGGGCAGCTAAAAGAAAGACGTAAGCTCTGTCTTCACAAGGAGCCACAGGGAGAAGACAAGGGGCAATGGGTACAAGTTACACTAGGAGGTAATGAAGATTTTTTTTTTTTAATGAGAACAATCAACCACTGAAACAACCTCCTGAAGGATATAGTGCAGTCTCCATCATCAGAGGTTTTAAAAATGTGATGGGACCGGGTGCTTGATAATCTCATCTAGGCTCGCTTTCCCATGAAATGTTGGACCAGATGATCATTCAAGGTACCTGCCAATCTGGGCTGTTCTAGGATTCTATAATTCTGTTCTATAGGTCTTTCACTTATGAAAAATAGTGGAAAAGTTGGATTGACATGATCAGACTCTCAATTGAATAAATGTCTGGGTTTTTTTTTTCCTCAGATCCATTGGTCTAGTACACCTCTGCAGGTGGAAGAATGCATAATTAAAGGAAGAGATGCTGTAAGTATCACTAATTAAAAATCAAATGTACTTTAATTACACCAGTAGCTGATCCAAAACAAGGCATCCTTAAACTTCAGGAGATCAAAGCACAGATATAAATCTAAGTGTTACAGTTTAAAAACTTGTAACTACTCTGAACACACTAAATTATTAATTTAATTGCTTTCAAAATGTCTCATAAATGGGCGAAGAACACTTTAGTTCATCTGAACTTTCTCCTAATTCTTGTTCTGGGGATATCAAAGAAGGTTCCTTAATAGTTCTCCTTTCCTATTTCTATTTCCCTTTCTTTTCATGCTCATAGGATACCTTCTCCTTTCAAACTTTTTCCCATTCTAATCTATCTTTAAAATTCGCATTTCAAAAAAGCAGCTAAAATATTAGTGTTTATAAAATATATTAGAATTTGTTTTGTTCTATAAGTTTTTTTGGTATGTTGATAAAAATATTCTGTTTTAATGAGCCCCAAAACTTTTCTGTTCTTGTGATTCGGTGTTTTGACTGTAATCAGTTCCTGGGGAAAGACCTGAAAGCTCAATGACATACAGCAGCTGATATCATTGGCACCACAGGATGAAAGTTCTTCTGGACGAGAGTTCTCTAATTTTGCAGTGCACCAAGCTCATTATCTGCACCTCATAAACACAAAGAAAGTACAACACCCAATAAATACCACAGCTGACAGAGCTCACCACTGTATCAAAAGATTAGAAAATGATGATAGTTTTATAGCAACAGCGACAGGAACATAGGACATAGGAGGATGCATGCAGAGTTTTCCCACATGAACACAGCAAACAGGCAGCCTTGATGATAACCACAACATATTGCCAGTGCAGATCAGCAAGCTATAAAGATTCTTGTTGAAGTACAAGCAAGAGAAGTGTCCACATCAAGCGAATCAATGAACCAGATTGGAAAATAATAATAATAACAACAACAACAACAACAACAGTAACGATACATTAATGCATAATAATACACAGTCATACAACGTAATACTATACTCCTTACACTCACCTGGCCTAGAAATGATCCTTTTTGGGGCATTTTAAAAAGTCATTACATTTTTCTGGATACTTTTACACCCTTGAGAATTTCAGATGGCTTTGGTTGAAAATGGTATTTTTCTACATTATCCAAACCTTGCGGTCATATAAAATGAATTCAAAAACTATATTTTTTTAGCTTTACTTAATACTACCACTTAACATAGGCTGTTATCACAGCTAAAGTTCTGTCATCTTTCCTTCACCATTTCATGATGGGATTTATTTTCTGATACTTTGACAATATTATATGGGTTATATAAATACAGAAATAAGTATTGTTGTTCCAATGTAATAGCAAGGTACCCCCTTTGGACTCTTGAAATTCCCTAAAATTCAAAATCTTTTGTAATCTGGTCTGTTATTGTATGTCTTCATATTTGCTTTGTAATGATTGTGATAATTTTAAAAACTTCATATTTCCCACTTCTCTCTTCATTGAGAAAGTTGTGATTTTTAAAAGAAAACCATAAAATTTTTAAATAATCACAAGACTCCAGGATTAGTCTTTAAGAAAAAGATGGTAAACTTGTAAAAGCTGGAAATATTGTAATACCAGACAATATTTAGATCCTCACGACTATGTGAATTACTAAGACTAATTCATTCCAGAAAAAACGTAGTAATTTTCATTAGCAAGCTCAGTATTAAGAAAGCTAAATTGGCCAAGATGAAAGGACTACAAATTAGAATGCAATCTGTTTCTATTACTTTTCATCTCCTTTTTTTTTAGCCATAAACTAATATTGGCTTCATGGCATAATGTCTTAAAATCAACCTTTTTCCATTTCTTAAGTTCTGAATGCTATTTTTCACAGTGTAAAGTTTCAGAAAAAAAAATATTCATCAGTGTTCTTTCAAACCTTTTTGCTAATTTCCATGTCGTTTCCTTCTTTTATTTCCTTTGCAAAAGATCTGTTACTCAGTGCGTAGAAGTAGTTTTAGTAGAACTGAAAAGGTTGTAATAAGCATCTGTGTTGAGCTATTTCATGTGTTCTCTGCTCCCTCTTTCTATATGATAGAACGGGCCACTTTTATAAGCTCTTGCTACCTTTATAAGTTGTCAGTTCATCTTGTAGCTGTAAATCTGTAAGTAGTGTAGCCATAAACACAATTTCAGAGAGCTTGTAACAGACTTAACAGGACAGTTAGAAAAGCTTCGTCTTTAACAACATGTGTGTCGTCTTAAGCTCAGGTCACAATGTTCTAATTCAGATCAAGTCAAAGAAAAAATCCTGCTCTTTTCCAGTGTGCCAGGAAACACACTGCTGGCCTGTGGTGTGAGAGCTTTTGATCCTTTCAATTATTTTTTCAGAACTGGAGATCACTCAGATGTAGAAATCAAATTCTGTACTGATGACTAATTCCTTCACACGAAGAAGTTTCAGATGAATAAAATTCCACAAGTCTAATAATATATCTGTAGAGCCTCCTAAAGACAACCACAACATTTAATTAATAAATACAGTAGGAAGAAAACTTACTTTAATGTTCCCTGATTGAGGTATCTCTTCCTTGTTATGCGTACAGGACATTATTAGCTCAGCCAGCAGCAATACCTAACTGTCTGACACTTGCCAGGATAGTACCCTTTTCATTTGTTTATGAATGATAAAGTCTAGCCATTTGGAATGACTTTTCTCTGTATATGGTATCTGCCTCATCCTGTTTTTTCTGTGGAAAATTTCAGGCATTTCTCTGAAGGTGCATAGGAGATAAAACGTGTAATACTCGGCCTTTTAAAAAAAATCCTAAGATCTTTCTTCCTTTACAGTGCTTTTCAGACTAAGATCAAGAGCTGCAGGCATATGTGGATAAAAAAGGCAACCAAGGAGTAAAGACCAGACCACCTCTGATAGAGAACAGAAGGGATAAGTCAGGAAGGTCATACTTGGAGGGGAGGGAGAACGAGGAACAACATCAGCGCCCAGTAAAGCATCTATTTAAAAACTGCAAAGCATCAGAAAATCCCTGTGTATTACAATTCTACTATCACTAGTCAGCAAATGTTTGTGAAAAGTACATATAAAGTGGATGCCTCTGTCTTTGAGTGCTGACACATGTATAAAGGATGACATCCTACTAATCTCAACTCATTCTTCTCTCAATTTTTTTCAAGTAGTAGGTTTTTTCCAGAGGGTCTAAAAATGTTTTCCAGGTGAGAGACCATGTGGATGCCACATGAAAGAAGACCTTTTTTTTTTCAAATCTCCTTTTTAAAAAAATGAATAAATTAGTTAAGAATTAAGAAATTCCAAAGTAAGATATTGCAAGGTTGGTATGTCCTTTGCATATATATAATATTTAATTACACATAAGGTTACATATCAGTGTAGGTTACCTCCTTCTTTCAATTAGCATGATACATGTTCGAGATGAATGATTAAGGAGAATCTTGTAGCAAAGGAGATATCTTCTTATGATCCTTATTTATTTGTTGGAGCAGCTGGAACACTTACACTGAATGACACAAAGGTTTGAAGAAAGAAGAAAGATGGTTTCTTAGTTTTGAACCCAAGGTGGATTTACAAGAGCTGATTTCTGCCTATGGTTCTGTTGCAGACTCTTTCTCTGTGGCACAAAGTTCTTGCAGACAGTCAGTAAGACCCAGAATTGTTCTCATGTAAATATAGCAGTCTGAAAACTACAGTAGTCATCAGTGAAGGACATCAGTTTTCAAAAAGGAAATTCCTCCCTTCTGTTTCACACATTCATTTAAGGATAGAATTAACTGCCTTTTGGAGATGTCTGATTTTCTTCATTGATTATTGAAAAAGCCTAGAAGAATAACATAAATTACATATCTAAATTTTAGAACAGCTAAAGTTAGCTAAGATTAATCCCTTTATAATTGTCTTCTTAAACTTGGTGTGACTGCCTTAAAACCCACGGTCTGAGTTTCAGAAATGTTGAGCAATTAATTGAAATGAGCAGAAATTTTGTTCCAAGCTTAGAAATCATTGCAAAATGTTAAATACCCTGTAAAACCAAATCTCAGGAGTCCCCAAATCAATGGATGCTTTTACCTCACTGTTTCCATTTCTAGTTTAGCACAGGAAGGATAATGACCCCACATCTCAAAAGGATGTTTGAAAAATTTTTATTGTAACATTTATGAAGCTGAAAATACACTAATGAGTCCCAGGCTATTGCCCTGGGGGAAATGAATAATTTCTTCTTCAATGGATGGTTTGAACAGTGGAAACAGATAAAGCATGAGGCTACACAACATAAAAAAAAATTGATTGGCAATTAATTACACAAGAAATTAATGCTGCAGTGGTCTTATGGAAAAAATGTAAGTGAAAAAGTGTAATTTTTCTTGAGATAAAATTTAGTAAACTTGAGAGGGAAGCTGTTTGCTGACTATTCACATCTCATGGTCTGAGTCTAATGTCTAGTGCATCTAATAATACTTAGTAAAACAAATATTTGGAGTTGCAGAATATCTCTGAAATTAAAGAAGCACAAAAGTGTGTTTTATAAGTTAATAACTCCTAACTGGCTAATTGCCTGAAATAAATTGTGATAAATCAGTGCTGTAAACTGACATTTTTCATGTCAAAAGTGTCCATCCATGAATTTGGTGGCACTGAGGTACTAGCATGATGTGGGAGCACTAAAATGTTCTATTTAAAAGGACAGAAAGTTTCAGTATGCAAAGTTTTACCTAAGTGCACTTGAGATATTTTAAAAACATATTTTTTTAGAAAAATGCTGATATTTTCCTGTGTTTGTTTTTTATGTAAACTAGGATGAATGTGCAAATTACATCCGTGTCCTTCACCGATACAACAGAACGCATCTTCTGGCTTGTGGAACAGGGGCTTTTGATCCACTCTGTACTTTTGTTAGAGCTGGACATCCATCAGAGGTAAGATAGCTGTTTTACAGTAGTGGTTCCTTTGGTCTAGATTCCAACAAAGCCTTTATGGTCAAAAATAAATATTTGAATTTAAGTGCTCAGAGTTCTCATACAAACCATGCAAGAGATATTTTTGCTGATGAAATGTAATGCTGGTCTAAAATTCAATTTGCAACTAGAGGAACTCACTAATGATTGAAATTATATTCTGGAGAATTATACAAGGAACTTGAAGTTGTTTTCATCTTAGAATTTTGTTACTAGATTAAGCTGATAAAGGAATTCTTACAAAAAATTATTAAATATTTTGGGATTTTGGCCTAAATCTGTTTTTTAAAAAAATAAAACAATATACTGTACAACAAAATACAGGTTAGTTTTATGGGAGATGGAATACCTTAATAATTCTTTGTTAAATTCAACTTCTTAGTGTTGCTCATGTGCAGAAGGTGTGTTAGCTCCTTAATGACACTTGTAGCTGAGTGAAATAGTTCTGCAGTGGAGATCATGAAGTGCACAACATAATCAATATTGTCAACATATTTCTTATGCAAAAATAGAATTGTCTGGATTTTTTCAGAAATCTGGATCATTTCTGTCTCAGTTCTATTAAGTAAGGGTTAAAGAATGAGTAAAAGTACGAATCTCTCATTTTAAATTAGTGTATAAGCCTTCTTAGGAATTCAACCTAACCCTGATTATATGCAACCTGTGTGTTGTTATACATAGGACAAAATTCTGACTGGTTGATGCTGCTTACATCCTGCTTCCTCACATCCTTATTTCATCACACTCTCATTGCCAGTCAAAAAAACACATAGAGTTTATGAATAGACCTTGAAATTCCTGACATAGAAAAGCCTTCTTGAAATGCTGAATTTCTACAGCTGTCATCAGATTGAATTTGTGGACAATTTATAAATTATATTACTAGGTCTGGACCTTGGAACTACAGACTTAATGAAAATTGGACACTCAAAGTTAACCCTTATCCTATAGTCAGATCTAGTGAAGAAATAACTTATTCAGTTATAAGGTAAAGCAACTGTGCACCTCCAACTGGTGTCAAAATCAGAAGCGTTTGAGAAGTTAAGAACACAGCACAGCACTTACACTTGAAGTTATCTGAATTGCAGAAATACACAGTCTTCGAAAATTGGAGGGAACTAAATAATAAGCAAATTGAAAACAAACCAACTTTGCATGTCTTTGCTCCCCTCGTAAACCTCCTGTCAGGCTTCCCAGTACGGTTTAAAGGAAGCAATGTCTGCATATTCAGGAGCACTATTTAAGAAAGCATAAGCAACAGGCTGATAAAAATAGAAACCAAACAAACAAAACATGAGAAACAAGAGTTGTATATAAGAATGTGTAGCCCATGATCCTCCCCTTACGTATCACTGTCCTTTCTTCCCTTCTTTTTGTTTATTATTCTCCCTTGTCAAACTGACGTTCTAAAATTTTACCCTCACAGATATCATGGGAAAATTACCATTTTTCTGTTTGTGTAGACCAACAGGAAATATATTTGCTACACTAAGAAGCAGCTATATTAGTTTCTGTTATCTGCAAAGCTGACCATCAGGGTTGAAAAAGAGAGGTGCCATTCTTATGGTAGGTTAAAAATAACGCATGCTATGTGATTGAGTGGGCAAATCGTAGTTTGTTTTCTTTGGCTGATAAGAACATCATGTAGCTGCAGGAAGTGAAGGGACCAGATCCTTTCTCAGCAAAGTGAAGTTCAGTCTCTATTTGCTGATCTCTGTGTTTGCCCAGAGTATCCGGATCCAATGACTTCCTATTACTGTCCCCCATTTCTTCCACCTCAGCTCTCTGTCCTCTTTCTTACTGTCTGATTGTGGAGGAAAGGAGAGTAACAGACGAAATGGTCTTAAAAATATAAATATACTATTCCATTTCTGAAAAAGACTCAAACACCTTTATTAAAAAAACAGTAAAACTTTTAATTTGAACAGTAAATGCTTGTTTATAATAGGCAGTTAAATGCGGTTCGTAATATACAGGTGGCTGAAAGCAACAGTTTTTAGATATTATTGATATTTTTTGTTAAGTATATTGAACTTCAATAGAAGTTGCAGAACTTTGTTCTGCAAACTCAGTTGCTTCTGAACAGAATCTCTTTCAGAAGCACAAGGTGTATTTGAGGCTTATATACATTTGAACAACAACACTTTGTTGACTTGTTGATGTGTAAAGGGTGGGAGGTAAAAAGGGAGCCCTTGTAACAGACTTCTATGTATCTGGACACCCAGATAACACAGCATATGAGGCTAGATTTACTCGTCCATACAGAACTATGAATCAGCAGTCTAAACACAGAGGAAGTACTTGTTCTGTGGTCAGTGACCTGAGCCATAAGTTTCAGTAGTGCTTCCTGAGATGATGATGAAGGGAAGATGCAACACTCTCAGTAAAAACTGCAGGGTTCTTAAGTTACAAACTGTATATAAATACAAATCAGAGATATAGGTGTTTAAGAACACGATAGAATAGCAAGACTATATTTTCTACAGCCTTATCTCTTGCATTTTAGTGAGCAGGCCAAAGAGAATCCATCTGTTGGAACAAAATAATCAGCTGAGGCTCTCATTCTTGTTGCTCACTAATCCCACGTTGCAGGAAAATTCATTTTGTTGTTGGCTTGCATCAAAAGTTTGACAAAGTTATCCATTTCTGAATAGCTTTTTGGTAAGAAAATCAAGCATTACCTTTTTCAATTTGAACAGCGAGAATATCCCAAAGTCACAATCATAATCATACTGTATGGTATCCTGATCTGGTATTTAACATGGTTTTGTGAGGTGCAATCCAGCTTATGAAATGGTGCCTCCTGTATAAAGTCTTCTATTCTTATGCAACTACAAATTCATACTTTCTTATCAAAATCAGATTTGAGCTGTGTCTTGCAGAACTGAGCTTTTGTCAACAAATAGTGAAGCCAAAAGCAGATTTTTGTCTCCAAAAATGGGCAGAATTTGACTGCCTCATTGGCAAATCATTATTTCTTGGAATTCACTGAAAATCAGAACTTCTAAGTTTCTCAAAAAACACAGTGAAAATGTCCTTTCTCCTAACCAGTCTCTCTAGAAAATATTAACTTACAATATAGTAATTGAAATGGGATTTGAAATCGTCACAATCAAATTTTACTATGATATATTATACATGTTTAAATGCTTCTTTCGTCCTTTTCATGGTTTGTAGAAACTTAGTGATACTATGTATTTTGTCTTAACATAATTACACTTGAATATGTTGATCATATACAAAAACATGCAATAAATACTGGATTTATTGAATTCTACCTCAAACTTGTGTTGTACCACCAGAGTCTAACCAAATGTAATTTTCTAAATCAAATGATTTATAAATTCTATGATACAGTATACATCCATTTGAGAGATTAAATATTAAACAGTTTACTGTAGGCATTCTCTTGTAATATTGGCTCATTTATATTGCTTTGGAATTTCAGGCTGTTCACAACAGTAAAGCTGTTGCCAGACATTACGTTTCTAAAAATATACAAGTAAGTCACTGACAGCAACATACAGCTTTTTATCTTTTTCTCTCTTTCTAATTACTTTGACTCTGATTAATGTTGCTTTCTCAAATTTAAATATTTCAGTAAATTACCAAATATTTTTCTGTCATTTAGAAATATATTAGAAAATGGGAAAAATAGGAGTGCTGTCTTTGCAGACAGAACAACTATTTGTGTGTGCAAAAGTACATATTACAAAATCTTGCCCAAAAAGACATAGGCAAGTTAATTGTCAGCCAGTGAGTTCAATATCACTGACTTCATGAAATGCTTCCAAATGTCAAAAGTCCATGCAGGTCAGAAGAGGCTGGGTTCCTCCAGTTTCTATTTGTCTAACATCCCAAAATGAAGGAGAGTTCATTGCAATAAAATCAACATGTTTTTTTCTGAAGAAAGAAGAGTCAGACACCCTCCACCCCACATGTCCTATGATGAATTGATTATACATCTTTCCCATGTGCTCTGTGAGAAAAAAAATTGAGAGGTCTTCAAACCCAATATAGAAGATGAAAAAAAATGCTGAAAAAAAAGTTACGTTGTTTCCATTCTCACAAAATCGACATTTGTCACTCCTGTTGCCTTTGATGCCAACAATGGGGGCAAAGCATCTGCACGAAGTCTCTTCCGCTTGCCTTTATATCAACTTCTCAGTTTTGGTAGTAGAAGATGGTTACTGGAAGAAGTGTTTTCTGTCTCAGTCTATGTTTTTCCACATCTAGCTACTAATAAAACAGTATTCCACTACTGTTCTATACAGCTCAAAATACGCTGAGTCAATTATGATTACCTTTAGATAAACCAGATGAGCTATCTGCAGTCAGGCAATGATTTTTTGTTCATGAGTTTTCTATTCAGCAGAGCAACAGATATTAGGGGTGCTCCAGAGGCCTTCCAACGCTCCAAACTGCCGTAGTAACAAGGCCAGATGGCAGTTCCAGTAAATATGGCTAAAGAAATTACTTTGCCTCCATAGAACCTGCAAAATGAGTGGAAATTCCAAAACAAAACAATATGCAGAAGTAATATCCTAAGTTTTTGCAAACTATATGGTGACAAGACAGAGCTGATTCCTGGAGCGGAAGGTATCTCTGCATGATAAAATGTGTTGAGGGCATAAAAAGTTGTGGGAAAGAACAGTGCATGAATAATTTTTCTTCCAGAACATGCTGTAAATTTTTAATATGTACATTGAGCTGGCAGAATTCCATTTTCAATGCCTCTTCTAACTCCTTAAAATGCCTCCAGCTGTATTCTCCACTTCAGAAGGCTGATGGACTGTCACTCTAGCCACAAAAAGTGCAGGTGGTTTCCGGGAGTCTCACCTAGACGTTCCTAATCTGATGTACTCCTTATTATGCTATTTGTTTTTCAATTACACAGCTGAAATTCTGCTTATCAGGGAACAACAGCTCTAAATCTAAGTCTTTAAGGCGTATTAGAAAGG